GCGCACTGTCCGCATTTAACAGCCCGCAGAGCCTCGCTATGCCGGATAAACGTGGTGAAAAGCGGCCCAAACTCGCACATGCAGAGCCGTACGGGGCACCGCCTGCTTTGCATAGACCAACCGAAACACCCCCTACCTCATACACACACTCCCACACACCCCACCTTCCACTCAGTGCGCAGGCGCGCGGACCAGACCATGTCGTGAACAGAGACAGGATCCATCATGCTAACTAGTTTTCTAATCAGTAACCCAGAACCTAATAAGGCAAGAGTTACTTAGAACAACAGTCAGTACCTTCAGCGTGGGTCTCTGTCTTCTCGAATCTTCTGAGAGCAGTGTGAGTTTCGTCGTTGCTAAGAGCCCCTATCTAATCTCCTTATCCATAAAACCTAAGAAATCGTGAAGCTTGTATGAGAATGAACAACTGCGCCTCTGCCATGTAAGTGGCGTCTCTTGACATGGTGAATGGGCAGCAGATGGAGCGTCAAGCACTCCAACAGGTGCAGTGAAGTGAATCAGGTCAGCACTACAATCCCACCAAGAACAACGTCCACTTGGGGGGGGTGGGCAAGAACAAGCCTCAACCCACTGAAATATTCTATCTGTATAAAACTGCTCCAAAGAAAATGGCTCAGCCTTAGGCCTGCATAAAGGCCACTCAAAGAACGCTGGCCCTCATTTTGACCTGGTGAGATAAATAAAGGGAAGTTTACACTTGACCAGAGAGCAGAGGTGGGGTAGTCACTACATTTAATCAGTTACATGTACTCAAGGTTTTTTTTTTTTAAAGGATTTGCACTTTCCTGCACATCTTTAAACCAGAACACTTTTTCTTGTAGTCAAGTATATTTGCAAGGAAACGCATTTACTTTTCACTCAGTTATATTTCATCACTAACATTTAGATACCAATTCTTTTTTATGTTTAATTTCATCATGTTTTGCTCTGGACAGCACCTATACTGCTTTGTGATTGGTCATACCTCTCACTTTTGAGGTTTATTATTTTATTTTAGATGAAAAGGATCACAAAAAAAGAACTGCACCTAAACTTCAGTTTCAGTTTTCAGTTTATAAAAACTGGATGTACATCATTAGTTTTCTGACATGCTACCTCTGTACTTGTACTTGGTTGTTTTTTATAAACTCAGACTTACATTATTACAGAGTCCAGTAATGCCTTAATAGACATCTAAAAAGTTGACTAATTCATCCAACTAGAAAAAGCAGGGACTTGTTTATAAAACGTACTTGAATATCACTCTAATTTAGTTTTTTTAGAAGTTCTCACCACTTGCGTACAGTTGATTTACAAAAACAAAATGTTCACATGTGCTGCAATCCCTATAAGACACCGGCACTGCTGTTTGAACATTAATATGGAAACTTGTGTTTTTTTGCACATTTTCACATTCTATAAATCACTACTTGAATGTGAATTTCCACCTATAATCAATTTAAGATCACACCTGTGCCCCAGGTCTGTTGTTGTCTGTTCAGTATCTATCCAGTCTATACAGGTGTCCATCTCTACCAATAACTATTAGATTCAAATAAGAAATGCATGCATGTAACTTTGTAATATACATGTAAGCATTTATTAGAACTCATTTCATTTGCAATTAATATAAAACAACAGTGTAAACAACAAAATAAAAAAATAGTATTTGCCTTGATTAGATACAATTAAATGTATGAATACAATGAAAAGCACAAAATAAATGCAGATAACATCACACTGTTAGAAGAAGCCTAAGTGAACTTTGAAATGCACCAAGACCAGTGAGGTCTAAGATGATCCCTCATTTTCATACTGAAATAAACTCTCTGTTTTGACAGTGTCAGTCACATGCTTATGTCAATATTTACTTTTCATCTTTTAGCTTGTGGGATTATCTCTGAGAGTGAGATTTTCATTGCACCACTAAACCCAGCCCAGATTAAGCCCTCTAGAGCACTCAGTCTTTCTCCCATCACACACGCCTCACTACCCTCCCTCATTCTCTCTCTCTGTGAGGAGGACCTTAGGGCCAGCAGGTTTCTGATGACAACAAACCTGAAAATATTTCAGGTCTGTTAACTTTGGACTGCACTGTTTTTATAGTCATTTTTGGCTGCTAGCTCTGGAGTGGTCAAAGTCTTCGGTATATCAAATTCAAAATAGATACTTTGCGTACATGTATACTTTTAGATAAATTACTGGCATGGTTTATTGGCAAATTCATTAAAAAAAAAAAGCTGCTGAAAAAGTATACTCCCTCTGGTTTTGGTAAATCTTTGGTCTCGGAAGAAAGAAAGAAATTAGTCAGACAGTAGTACAGTAATGTTTTATCAGTTGATTATGAAATAAATATATAGTTAAATAAATTTATATAAAATATATTAATATATTTAACTATATATAGATTTATTTAACTACATTATACCGTAAAAAGAGCTTATCAAGAAAACAAGGACAATTAGGATGAATAATGAGCACAGCTGAATAAATCAAAAAT